GAGATGGGGTTGCACCATGTTGGCCAGGCTGGTCTCAAACCCCTGACCTCAAGTGATCCACCAGCTTCGGCCTCCCAAAGTGCTGGGATTACAGGCGTGAGCCACTGCACCCGGCCTCCCAGCCACACTTTTAAATTTCCTTGTTTCCTGTACCTGCCCCTGGCTGCAATACATGAAGACAGAGATGTCTGTTGATCCTGCTCCCCACTGTGCCCCCAGAACAGGGCCTGGCACGCTCATGGAGTGAATGAGGGAGGGAGGGAGCAAGCAAGTGGGTCCTCCCATTGCTGACCTTTGCTCTCCGTTCCCCAGGCCACTCCCTAGCTCTGTCTCCCCCATGCCAGAGCCGGCCAACAACTCAGGGCTCACCCTCCCTGCCCCATGTACCCTGTAGCCTGCTGGGCCAGAGGAAGGGGCTGAGAAGAGACCAGAGAACAGCCAGGGTGTTGGCAGAGGGAAAGGGGGAAGGAGATGGCCCAGGATGGCGGCACCGGGGCAGGCCTGGCCTGGAAGCCTTGGACCCCAACAGGCAAAGCAGAGGCAGCCAGCCTGAGCCCCGGTGCCAGGGACGCACCCCTCCTGGATAGGGACCAGGGTGTGGATGAAGAGGTCAGGCGCAAGATGCTAGGCAGGGAGCAAGCGGAGCAGGCGGGAAGTGAGGCGGCAGGAGCGGGGACAGAGCCCCCGAGAAGGCCAGGGTGAGCACCGGGGCTGTAGGTGAAGGAGCCACAGGCCGCTGGGGCGGGCAGAGGCCGGGCATCAGTGGGCTCGCTGGGCTCCAGGAAGATGCCAGCCGCGGAGGATAGGGCTGGGCCACTGCTGGCCATGGCCGGTGCCGTGGTGGGTAAGGGGGGCGCCTGAAGGGCGCCGGCTGGTTCCCTGGGGACGGTGGAGGTTGCAGGCAGCCCCTTCTGGGCTTCGTGAATGGGGCAGAGCCGCTGCCGAAGGGGGCTGGGAGGTGGGGGCTGGGGCTGGGGCTGCCGCTGCTGCTGCAGGACGGAGGGCGGGAGGCCCCGGCGCCAGCCACTGCCACCCACTCGGTGGCTGTGGTAAGCCAGCTGCCAGTGTGACTGGGGGGAAGGTCGACAGGGCCCGTGGGCTCGGAGGGCTGCTGAGTCCTGGCGCCACTGATGACAGCATCCTGGAAGGAAGGAAGTGGGGGTGACTGGGCCTGTGTCCCCAACCTCCGGGGGGCACCGGCACAAGCCTGATCAAGTCTTCAGGTAGAACCTGGGGGCCGGAGTGTTCTTGGGAGCCCCAGAAACCCCTCAAAAAGTCAGATCGTACGCGGGGGAGGTATGGGCAGGGGAGGGACCCGGGGTCTGTGCTGTCCCACAGCAGGGGAGCGGGGAAGGCGCAGGGCTTGGACTTCAGCTGGGGGCAGAGAGAGGACGCCTGAGGCTGGGGCTTCAGTGGAGGCTGGTGCCGGCCACAGCAGATTCCTGGATTCCTGGGGGGTGCCCTGAGTGCAGGGGTCAGGGAAACTGAGAGGATCCATTGGGAGCTGGCCCTGGCTGGCCCAGGGAGGCCGGAGTGATGGGTGGTTGTGTGGAGAGGGGTAGGCCAGGGATTTGGATGGGGGGTGGACCTTGTCCCCAGCTCAGGCCAGGGTGGCAGGAAGGGTGGTGACCTGGGAAGCTCCGGCCCTCACCCTGGCCCTGAGGAGGCTGAATCAGCTCCAGTGGGAGGGCACTGCCCCCTGCCCCCACTAAACAAGAGCCCCGTGGTCGCCACCAGAAACTGGGTCCAGCCTCATTCGGACATGTTCACTGTGTGGGGCTCCCTCTCCTACCCCTTATTCCCAGCACACTGTTCCCCTCCAGGCTGGGGGCCGTCCACACAGGCCTGGGGGTTTGGAGAGGGGAAAGGGCAGGCCAGGTGGCCCCGGCTTCCATCTCCAGCCCAGGCTCCTATCTTCAGGCCCCCCGGCCCTGTGGTCCTAGTCCTGGGTCCTGGCCCTGCTGCTATGCAGATACCTCTTGGGGGAGTGCAGGTGGCTTTTCTCTCCTGAGGACGCGGCTCCCCTTCTGTTCCTTCATTCACTCTGGCTCCCTCACAGGCCTCTGCTGGCCATCACCCACCCCCAAACTGAACCCGTACCTTTTTGGTGCCCCAACTCTGGGTCCCAGAAGTAGTGCCCGTTGGGGCTCTGGGCGTCCTTGGCAAAGTGGACTTTGTAATGCTTGTGCATGGCAGCCGGGCAGCTGGGTGCTGGGGGCCTCTTCCTGGGGCAGGAGGGGGCGCACAGGCTCAGCGTAGCCTCTGGGTCATGAACAGCACAGAGCTAAGGTCAGGGGCCCTGCCCTGCCCAAGAGCTCGGACAAGGGAGAGGCCAAGTCCCATATGCTGGGTTCCTAAGTCACTTGGGAGGAGGGGGCAGAGGTGGCCTTCAGGGTACAGTGAGGGGCAGGATGAAGAGGGATGGCCAGAGGAGGGAACGGAGAACCGCTGGGGGTGGCTAGGGGCTAATTTGAGGTTGCGTGTCAGGAAGCCTCTGGGAGTTTCCAAGAGGCTAAGACATTGGGGAGTGCTGAGCAGATGTGGGCTGGGGAAATAGGGGGTCCGGTGTGGTGGCTGAGTGACAAAAGCGGTCATTAAGGTGTGGGGTGCTGTGGGAGGCTGGCACGCTTTGGAAGGACATGGAGCTAGTAAGCTGAGCTGGGGAGCAGCTGAGAAGCAGGGTGAAAGTCAGAGCTGAGTACCTGTGGGGATTGAATGATACGATGGAGGGGGAATTGTGAGGGAGCAATGAAATCACGGTGGTCCAATTTGGGGAGAGGCTCAGCAAACTCGGGCAAGATGAGTGTACCGCGTTTCAAACGTGAAGAGCCGAAAGCAGGATGGGGAAGGATGCTGTGTAGGGGACAGGGATGGGGAAAGGCTGAGGGGCAGAGGAAACTGGGGTGCTGACGGTTGGGAGCCTGTCCACCACTCCCCACCCCCAGTCCCGGGTCCACACGTACCTGACGGCGGCCTCACGGCCCCAGCTGCCTGCCCTGCGAACTGCTGCCGCGCCAGCCCGGACTGTCAGCACAGGCCCATCCTGATGGAGGCCCCAGCCCAGCGCCTGCCCGACCGGTTTGCCCGCCTGTCCCCGCCCCTTCCCCAGCGCCTGCCTGTCCCGGTGCTCTCTGCTCTTGAGGACTGGACTCAGTCTTGTGTCCCCTGCCCTGGTAAGGAACGGAGATGCATCCCACAGCGCTGCCTAAGTCTCCTCAAGGCAGCCATGGGCCCAGGCACTTCTGCTGGTGGTGGGGGGGGTGGACAAGGAGCTGGGATGCCAGCTCCTCCGTGGCCCAGCTATGTGACCTTGGGCAGGTGACTTCACTCTCCGAGCCTCGGCTTCCTCATTGCTGAGTGGGCACCTGCCTCTCATGGTTGCCGCAAGGGAAGCACAGGGTGGGAGTCCCCTCAGTCCAGGGCCTGGCGCGCCTGACTCGGGGCTGTGCTGACCCATTTACCTGGTGCTGCTCTAAATGGACGTCCATAGGACGAAGGCAACAGCACACACATCAAGGCTGGCTGCACCCTAGCTCCATCTTCCTCTCCACCACCCAGGGGGCCAGGTGTGATGCCCACTTCACAGATGAGGACACTGAGGCCCAGAGAAGTGAAGTCCTCTGCCCCAGGGCAACAGAGGCAGAGCAGGGATTTGAAAGCAGACAGTGATTGCTACTCCCAGGCTTGCCAAGGCTCTGTCTCCTGCCTTTGAGGGCCAGCACTCAGTGACTGTCTCCCCACAGATGCCCTCTGAGGGGTGAAGGCTGGGGAGAGGCTGGGCAGGAGACGCCCTGGAGGCCCCTCAGCCCTCTGGGGCCCTGGCTCCTTGTGGCTGCTGGCGTGACGGGGTCAACAGTTGCTTGCTTCCCTGACAGACGGGGTGCTCTGATGGGGATGGGGGAGGCAGCCCCAGAACAGTGCCCAGGACAAGATAAAGGGAACCCACCCGGCCCTGGGTTCTGCCCAGGTGACCAAACACTGCTCCCCACGGCCAGAGCCAGGGCCCTTCCTGCTACCTGGGACCCGCTCTGTCTCCTCCTCGACCCTTCAAGCCGGTTGCTCTGGGAAGGTTCCTCCCTGGCCCATCAGGGAGGCGGGGCTGCCATCTGAGCGTGGGCATGTCTGCAGCGGACCTCCGTGCTAACCCCCCACACCCCTGGCCGGAACATGAAGCGTGGCTCAACGTACACGAGACATCTCTGCAGGATGAGGTTGCTCCGGGCTGGGAGCATAGCAGCCAGGAGGCTGCTGGACACTAGGGGGAGCAGGTGTTTGGGGAGCGGGCCAGGCAGGGGCAGCACGTGGGGAGCAGGCCAGGCAGGGGCAGCACGGCAGAGGCAGACACAGGACAGAGCTACACTCAGCCAGGTGGGCTGGGAAGAGGTGACCCAGGCAGTGACTGACGGGGTGACTGGACCCCACTCTCCAGGGAGTTTCTTTAGCAAGGGACTCCTTTCTCATCCCATTTGGGTCTCAACCCCCAGCCTTGGTTGGCGGCTGTGAGGCTGGGGCACTTACCCACATCAGGCAGCGGGTGGCGAAGCCCAGGAGTCCCTAGATGCTACAGATGCGAGCAGGGTGGAAGGGGGCAGCGTAAGGGCCACTCTGCCCATGGACGGGCAGCAGGAGTGCGTAGGGGCCACGTGTGTCCATGGGGGTGTCTGGCCTCCCCCTACCCCATGCATCCCCAGCCCTGGCAGCCCCAGCCTGCCCCGGCCTACACTCCAGGCACTCCCAGCCCTGCTCCCCAGGAAGACGCTCCATTCCGTGCAGATCGCCGGGCAGAGGGCAGCCCCAGACTTGTTGACTCGGCAGAGATGCCAGCGAGGCCGCCCATGCCGGGGGCCAGCATCCCTCTGCCAGGAGCACAGGGAGGGAGGGAGCAGAGGGGGACCTGGCAGGGGAGGGAGGGTCTGAGGGGCATGGGAGCCAGAGAGGGTGCCCACTCCCCTGCAGGACCTGTGACAGTTGCTCCACAGATCCTCCCCTGCTGCTGTGAGTCAGATTCCACACACACAGCCTTTATTGAACAGCCTCTGGGCAGTGGGCAGGCAGGAATCCCACCCCAGTCCTGACCGCAACTGGGACCCCTTTGCCTCCTGTGACACCCCCACCTCGCTTTGATACCCACTTCCTGAGTAAATGTGACCCCTAGGGCCTGGGATCCCCAGCACTAGCCCCAACACCACCCCCAAATGCAGCGGCCTGGGGCCCAATGCAGCCGCCGTCTCCTGAGGCCGGTGAGACTGGGGGCAGCAGTGCAGCTCGGCGGGTGCGGGGCAGGCTTAGGATTTCGGAATCACCACCTGGAACTTACCTGGAAGAGAAGGCCTGGCTTAGGCTTGAGGATGGGATGGGAGAGAGGCAGAGGGCACCTAGACAGCTCTTAGGTGCTCACCCCTGTCCTGCACTAACACCCCAGTGGCTAGGTTGGGCTGTTTCCTCCCGCCCACGTGGCCGCATCCCTGGGCTGTGTGAGTAACCAGGGGCATGAGGGCCACGAATGTGGCCCCAGAGAGGCGCCCGGCACAGGCTTCTGTGGTATGCATCGCTCGGTCCTACCCCATGGGAGCCCTGGGGCCCCCCCACGAGTGGGCCTGGGGAACCAGCAGAGGGAAAATAACTGAAGGTTGGGGAGGTGGTGGGACAGGCTGTCCCCAGGCAGGAATGGGGTTCCAGCTGGTCTGACAGAGGACACCTAGTCAGGCAGGCTGCAAGTTCCTTGGAGCCTGCTATCCCCCGCATCGAAGGATCAGCAAGGATGATCCCACCTGGGATCCCGTGCTGGGAAAAGATGTTCAAAACAGCCAGACAGTTCTCTCTGCAGGGCCAGTGACGTCATAGAGCCAGGGGCACAGATGGGCCTGCACGGGCTGTGTGGCTGAGCAGGTGACTTAAACCTGGGCCTGCCTCCCAGGCACCCACACAGGAGTGGGGCTGGAACTCTGAAGGCCTCAGCAACTCAAGGGATGAGAAGAATCCCCCTACCCCGCCATGACTCACAGACGGGCAGGGCTGCCACGGAGGCGGTGACCACACTCTCAATGCCCAGGGTACAGAGGGCGCCACGCAGGAGGCCGCAGGTGAAGGCCAGGAACTGGGGAGGGGACACAGACAAGCATGGGAAGAGAGGGGAGGCTGGCACCGAGGTCTGGGGCACTCCTTAGGCCTGGGGAGAGGCCTGACATGGGGTAGAGGCTGGGTAACAGGAGGAAGGGAGGTGTGGACAAGGCCCCAGCTCCCCCCATACCTTGGGTGCTTCCTCCAGATACTGCAGGCCAGAGGCCATCGGAAGGAGGAGGGGGAAGCTGTTGTCTTGCAGGACGTAGGTCCCCTGGGGGAGAGGAGAGGCCGGTGGGTGGGGGCGGGGCCTGCACATTTGAAGCACAGGGAGGGGAAGCGGGAACCCAGGTCCTAGATTGGGCTGAGGTTGGGAAGTCCCCCTCCCTGAGAACCACTGGAGTCATGGCCTTGGCCACCAGTGCTCCAGTAGGGCCCAGGGCTTCCAAACTCGGACTGGGTGCCCGTGCCCTGGGGAGTGTGGGTCCTGCCCTCATCTCCCAGGGTCGTGCAGAAAAGCTGGGGACCCGGCCCAGGAAGCTGCAGAGGGGCAGGCACAGCCTGGGTGTTCACTGGGGGACTGGACCAGCTTGGGACAAGCAGCATCGCACTGGGGGGAGGGCAGGCCGCCAGCAGGGGCTTTCTGCCCATGCGTGGCTCACTCCTGGTAGGCTGGGGAAGTTCTGGAAACACCCCCTATGCCCCAGTGCAGCCTCCTGGCTTCCCTTAGAGGATCAGACAGAGCAAGAGCTGCAGCCACCTGTGGGAAGGCTCTGGGCGGGTCCGGCAGCCGCTGCTCTGGCGCCGGGGCTTCCCCTCCCACTCTCCTGGTCTCGCCCTCGGGAGGGAGCCGGACGGGCGGGCTGGGGCGCTCCCACCTGGTGATTGGTGCGCAGGCTGTCCATCTGTTTCTGGAACACGGCCACCCACAGGTCTTTGCACAAGAACTTGAGGACATCCAGCTCCTCCCTGAAGGCCAGCGTCTCCCGGGGCAGTCTGGTGGGGCAGTGCCAGGCTGAGGCCGTGGGGCCAGGCCAGGAACAGGGAAGAAGCCAGGCCCATCTCCCACAGGGAGCAATGCAACCTCCCCGCCCAGGGCCTGCCCACCCCTGCCAGCTAGGCTCGGGGAGAGCAGGGGGCGCCGTGCTCACCTCTCGCCTAGAGCCTGGCCCACGCGGAACCCCATACCCTCCAGGACCGACAGGCTCATCTTCTGTCCCTAGAAGGCCAGGGGAGAGACGCTCAGGAGCCCTTGGCCACCTCGAACCTGGGGCCACCCAGGGGGGCACCTGCCAGGAGACCCGAAGACCGATTTGCCAGTGCCCATCAGTTCAGGGGTGAGCAGGGAGAGGCTCTGGCACAGCCTGGCCAGGGCAGGGGCAGGCCTCTAGGGCGCCAGGGCTCCCTCACCCACCTCTGCAGACCTCGCAGGCTCTCTGGATCCCCAGATCATCAGCCCCCAAGAACCAGCTGCTCCTTCCCCCAGGAACAATGGGGGTCTTCCCCAGGTTCCCTGCCCCCTGCATGACTCTTCCCGATAACACCGGTCACGCGCTGCACATGCGTTCAGCGCGAACCCTCACAATGCTCTGGGAAGTGGGAGCTGCGACTCCACCAAGAGGCTCCAGGTGACCTGCCCAAGGGCTGGAGACTGGGCCACAGGAAAAGGAGCTGTGGAAGTCAACCATGATCATCATGCCTTATAATATTGGCCAAGATCCCTGGGGGTACACGTGGAAGCTCGGAACAGGCAGATGTTTGTTTGGGTGCTCGGGAAGGACAGTGGCAGCCATGTAGTGTCTGGAGGGTAGGCCAGGGTCCACACAGGAGGGGACTGTGCTGGCAGAGGCAGGCCCCAGGCAGGAGGGCTGCACTCGGTGTCTGTCCACGTGCCTGTGTGTGTGGATGGCATGGCTGGAAGAGATGAGGTGTTCATGGATTTTTTTTAAGAGATGTTGTCTCGCTTCATTGCCTGGTTGGAATGCAGTAGCCTGATCTCGACTCACTGCAACTTCCGACTCCTGGGTTCTAGCAATTCTCCTGCCTCAGGCTCCCGAGTAGCTGGGACTACAGGCGCCCACCACCACGCCCGACTAATTTTTTGTATTTCAGTAGAGAAGGCGTTTCACTGTGTTGCCCAGGCTGGTCTCAAACTTCTGAACTAAGGCAATCCACCCACCTCGGCCTCCCAAAGTGCTGGGATTACAGGTGTGAGCCACTGTTCCTGGCAATTTTTCTTTTTTGGAGACAGAGTCTCACCGTTGCCCAGGCTAGAGTGCAGTGGTACACTGTTGGCTCGCTGCAACCTCCGCCTCCCGTGTTCAAGCAATTCTCCTGCCTCAGCCTCCAGAGTAGCTGGGATTACAGGTGTGTGTGCCACCACACCTGGCTAATTTTTGTATTTTTGGTAGATATGGGGCTTCACCATGTTGGCCAGGCTGGTCTCAAACTCCTAGCCTCAAGTGATTTGCCCGCCTTGGCCTCCCAAAGTGCTGGGATTACAGGCAAGAGCCACTGCACCTGGCCATGGATTTTTTTTTTTTTTTTTTACTCCAGTGATTTGCTGCAAGCAGAGGAAGCGGGGGGCCCAGACTGGGGGCACATCAGAAACCCCAGGATGGCTTGGGCGTGAGATGCCAGGTTTCTCAGAGAAAGCCTGGCAGAGCAGAAGTGGGGGAACACAGGAGAGGGTGGTGTGTAGCCCTGAGCTGAAAGAAGCTCACCCTCCTGCTGGTTGCTCTCAGGAGCCTGCAGTCACCTGGCCTGAGCCCTGCAGCCCTCCCTCTCCTGCCCTCGACCCCCACTGTCACTGGGGAATGGCAGCTACGGCCTCCTCCCTCCAGGGCTGCACCATCAATGCGGCCATCCGAATGGGGATGGGAATTCTCTGCTTGGCTCCAGTCCTGGAGAGGGTGTCCCAGCCTGGAGAGGGTGTCCAAGGAAGGTTTCTTGCAGCCTGCTGGCCCAGCTGCCTCCATCCCTCCCTCACCCGCTCCACCCACTCAGGACACTTGCTTTCCTTGGTCGGGAAGGCTCAGACTTCTGGGCCTTTGTACTGACTTCCTTCCCTCCCTCCCAGTTTGCGTCCCCAGCACTGCCCACTGCACACTGTCACTGGATGAGGACACAGCTCTGTGAAGGTGGGGACCCAGGCTGATCAATTCACATCCGGCCTTCAGCAGCCAACACAGGGCTTGGCATGTGGGTGGTGCTTAATAGACTGGCTGATGAGACAACGTGCATCAACAAAGGACACAGTAAGTCCTCACCTAATGCTGTCAACGGGCTCTGGGAAACTACGGCTTTAAGCAAAATGACACATGATGAAACCAATTTCACGCAGGTTAATTAACATAAACAAGAGCGAAGTTCCAATGCCATGTTTCTGGTACAAAAACATCACCAAACTTCTAAATAAGAATGAAAACGTAATATTAAACACTGAAATAAATGTGAGCTACACATACATTTGAGAAAGATTAGGCTGGGCGCAGTGGGTCACTCCTGTAATCCTAGCACTTTGGGAGGCCGAGGCAGGGGGATCACCTGAGGTCAGGAGTGCAAGACCAGCCTGGCCAACACGGCAAAGCCCTGTCTCTACTAAAAATACAAAAATTAGCTGGGCATGGTGGCAGGCACCTGTAATCCCAGCTACTTGGGAGGCTGAGGCAGGAGAATTGCTTGAACCCGGGAGACAGAGGTGTCAGTGAGCCAAGATCATCCCACTGCACTCCAGTCTGGGCGACAAAAGTGAGACTCTGTCTCAAAAAAATAAATAAATAAATAAAGATTAAAACAAGTAAGATAGGCTGGGCACGGTGGCTCATGCCTGCAATCCTAGCACTTTGTGGGTCACTTCAGCCTGAGTTTTGTTTTGTTTTTTTTTTTTTTGAGACGGAGTCTCCCTCTGTCACCCAGGCTGGAGTGCAGTGGCGCGATCTCAGTTCACTGCAAGCTCTGCCTCCCAGGTTCAAGTCATTCTCCTGCCTCAGCCTCCCGAGTAGCTGGGACCACAGGCGCCCGCCACCAAGCCCGGCTAAGTTTTTTGTATTTTTAGTAGAGACAGGGTTTTACCTTGTTAGCCAGGATGGCCTCCATCTGCTGACCTCGTGATCCACCCGCCTCGACCTCCCAAAGTGCTGGGATTACAGGCGTGGGCCACCACGCCCAGCTGAGCCCAGGAGTTCGAGTCCAGCCTTGGCGACATGGCAAAACCCCTTCTCTACAAGAAATACAAAAGTTAGCTGTGCGTGGTGCACATGTGTCCCAGCTACTTGGGAAACTGAGGCAGGAGGATCCTATACGCCAGCCCAGGCAACAGAGCAAGACCCTGTCTTAAAAAATAAATAAAAAACAAAAAACCAGGAAGACATTTACTCACTTCCTCCAGCTCAGGGTCCTGGGGGGCTAGAGCCTGTCCCAGCAGGGCCAAAAGCAGGAATGGACCCTGGACAGGATGCCATCCCATCACAGGGCGCACACGGGTCCATATCACTCACGCTGGGCCCATGGAGACCCGGGAGCTCACCTAGCGGACACACCCCAAGGATGCACAAGGAAAGGAGTGCCCAGAGGAACCTGCACCAGCACAGGGAGAACCTGCAACCACCACCCAGACAGTGGTCCCGGGAATCAGTATTTTTTCCTCATCAATGTCACAACACAACGTTATTCCAGGACCGGCATACTGTGCGGCAGGCATTTTCTACAGTCCTCTTGTTTTACCTTTCCAGCCTCACAGGAGGCTGTATTTCCAGATGGAAACTGGGGCTCCGAGGTTAAGAACCCGTCCAAGGCACCCTCAGCACAGGACTGTCTTTCACACCCCAGCAGGTCCACATAGGAGGGTGGGTGGGGTGACAGCCATGGCTGTTGAGGGCCTCATGGAAGTGGGGTGTGCTCGGAATGGGGGAGGCGCTGAGCTGAGGTCGCCCATATCTGAAGCTAAGGTGCCCCTTCCTCTGCCTGGCCCCTTGCCAGGCCTTGTCCTCCTGGGTGACAACGACACGGCTTCCTGTTGCACTGGCTCCCTCTGGTGTCACCACCTGCTTTCCTCTGGTGTCCTTAGGCACAGCAGGGCTGGCCACACAGCAGAGGCTCAGGGAAGGGGCCGATGACTGCAGGAGAAGGGCAGGTGTGTGAGACAGACAGGGTGGGAAGAGACCCCTGCCTGTGGGTCCTTCATAGCAGCACTACCAGCAGTGCAGGTGCAGAACCACCGCCCAGGGCCAGATTCACCCCAGCACTTACCACCTGTGGGACCTGGGCCAGCACTTACCATGTGTGCGACCTGGGCCAGTGGTTGAATGTCTGTGGCTCAGTTTCCTCATGTAAAAAGGAGGGTCATTTTGTCTGTTTGTTTTTGAGACAGGGTCTCATTCTGTCACCGAGGCTGCAGTGCAATGGCACGATCTTGGCTCACTGCAGCCTCTACCTCCTGGGTTCGGGTGATCCTCCTACCTCCGCCTCCCAAGTAGCTGGGACTACAGGTGTGAACCACCACGCCTGGCCCAAAGGAGGGGAATATTAATGGCAGCTACCTCCGGGATCCTCACCAGGAGTAAGGGTTGATAAAGGCAACCTGAGTACTTCAAGGCAGCTCTGGGAGCCTTACTTATTGTCATTCACAGCCTCCATGTCTGTCAAACGAGGAGACGGCACCAGCCAATGACGGATGAAGCCCTTGGCTGGAGGAAAACCCCAGGAAGGAAGGGGGTCTGTTCTGTGGGCTCCTGTAGCCAGCACCTAGAACAGCCTGGTGGCTGCGGCTCCTGTGTCACCTCCTCCTGCAGCGCAGCTCCTGGAGGTAGGGCCCAGGCTCCACTCTGAGAGAACACATCTGTGTCCCTGCGCATAAGGGCACCTTCATGTCCCTCTTTCGTTCATGCCACAAACATTTCTTGGTGTCCTCCAGGAGCTCACCTACCGTGCCTGGTGGGGTTGACAGGTGCCCAGATGATGCCAACTGACAATCTAGGAAGGGCTGGGAGACTGAGTGCAAGGGGCCCGGGCAGTGCCGTGCAGAGCTTGCCCTCCGGGGGGGGCCGGAGGGGGCAGGCATTCCAAGCAAAGGGCATGTGCCAAGGCAGGGGTGAGAAGCGGGAAGGGAAGGGGCTCTCAGAGTGGGCTGCAGAGAGGGCATTTTCCCCTGCAGGGAAGTGCAGCCAACCCGAGGGTCAACGCAGCCCACGGTGCCTGAATGTCGGCCACAGTGGGCCA